TGGGATTTTGGTATGCAAATCAAGAAATTACAGAACGCATATAATTATATGCAACCCAGTTGAACATGTGCATTCCTCATCCCAAGCAAACAAAAGTTTAATTTATTTATTTATAGTCTATTTGGGCGTTCCAAACCGTGTGTAGATATACCCTCCAGTCCCATACAATCGTAATTGCCACGTATTCAGAACTTTGGATAGTGGCCACCCATTACTTTTAACACTTATTCTTTCGAATTTAGACATTCTCAAAATGGCGTTTCGCGCCTCTGAGGTTGGTACGCAAAGTTTAACTCCTATTCAGTAGAACGGGACATTCAAAACAACGTTAACGATAATCTCGGAAACAATTTAAACTCCTTCAGTATCGACTGACCTGACCTGACTTTCTTCAAGGGAATTACAGGCAAAATGACGTGTTAGAATAAATACAAATCAGACATGAAATAAATTTATAATTCGTCCTTGTTTTAATTATTGCTACCACGTCTGGACTAGTGCTCATGCTATATATTGAAAGATTCTTGATAAAAACCCAAGAAAAAATAAGGAATGTTATTGGTTCTGACCTGGCATCTGGGCTTCAGTCACTTTCCCATCACCGTAGCGTAGCTCCCCTGTGCTTTTTCTACATGTTATGGTCTGGTTCCTTGTACCAAGGTGATTGTCCAAGGTAGAACCAATACTCGAACACAGGTATGGAATAACACAGATATATTACAAACAAGAATATATACAGAGAAGTAGAAGTGTTAGTATGAACAATCAGGTTTAGTAGAGAGAACAATGTAGTCTCGACCAGTATCACTATTCCAATATCTTGCAGTAATCGTCTGAACGCGACTCTGTTTCAGACTGCCTCTGACTCGACTCTTGACTCGACTTTAATTACTGACTCCACTTGAACTACTGACTGACTTCGAACTAATGACTATATTTAGCACACCCCCACGTGGGCATTATGTGGCACAAGGCCGGTTTAACGTGGGATCTCCGAGCCCGTGGGCTCGGCCAAAAATATACCCATTGAACCCGTATAAACTGGTTCAGGGTCGGTTTACCTCCCCGAAAGAGAATCCGCCCTTTGGCGTAGCCTCCTTCGGGTTCCTCCCCGCTCGAAGGCAGAGAGTTCAACCAAACAACCGGTCAAGACTTGAGTGACTGACTACTCCGAACTAATGACTCCTTGCCTACTCCTGAGCCGCAGTATTTAAGTATGGAATAGTCCATTTTTATTATTATGGGTACGATCCCATAACACTATAAATACTATTTCATTATTAAAACTTGTTATTTTTAGTTTCAATTTCTTTCGTTCGTTTCAGTACATTTTTTTCCATATTTTCAATTGTTTTTCACTCTTTCTTTTCAAATCATTTTCTTTTCTTTTTTTTTCGTTTCATTTTCTTTTTTCCTTTACAATTCATTTCCCTTCCTTTTTTCAGTTCATTTTCTTTCTTTTCCATTCATTTTTTTCCTTCTTAAATTATTTTCCATTTTTTTAAATCATATTTTTCTTTCTTTTCAATTCATTTTAATGATGATCTCGGAAATAATTTAAACTCCTGCAGTATCGACTGATCTGACCTGACTTACGTCAAATGAATTACATCAAAATGACATGTTAGAGAAGGTACAAATCACATATGAAATAAGTTTATCATTCGTTCTTGCTTTAAATATTGCTACCACATCTGAACCGATGCTTCTGTTATAAATTGATAGATTCTTGATAAAATTCGGGGAGAAATAAAGAATGTTATTGGTTCTTACCTGGCATTTCGGCTTCAATGACTTTCTCGCTTCCGTGACATTGTGCCTTTTCTATAAACACTATTTCATTTTTAAAAGTTGTTATTTTTATCCTCCCATCCCCGGAAAATTCTACATATGGGAATTACTTAAGACTTCATAGAGACTCCGAGGCATTATGGTAGCTGTATTAAAAATACTAAATATATGTTGTTTTGGTGTAAGGAATATTGTGATATGTTTCCGTCAGTAATGACTAAGTTTAAGATAAGAGAGACTGAAGACCAGTCACCCTCATCCCTCTTTTGGCCTTGTGCCACATTTATGTATTTTTCAAAACAAATGTCACGTCCTTCTATGGTACCTACAATGTATGAATTTAGCCATAATACTAGACGGATGCAAGTTTTCAACGCTTTACAATTGAAATGGCTAGATGTAACCGTACATTTTATGCTAACCCGTTCTAATATCGCGCTTCCCGTTTGTGGAACTCACTTCCGGTTCCTTCCTTCCCAGTTAATTTTGATTTTCAAAAATGTAAATGCGATGTCAATGGTTTTCTTCTGTTTTCTTAATTCGTGTTCTTTTATTGTTCTCTCGCCTTCTATATAAATAAAAGCGAATATACGTGTGTCACACTTTTTCATATTTACTCCTAGAGACCGTAGCCTAACATATCATACCATTTTGGAATCAGTCTAACTCCATGGGCAAACTAAAAATATTCCGGGCCGGATCCGGGCGCGCTATCCTGAAATTGTGGATTCCCAAGTTTTCATTACTGCGGTTGTTTTCGGTGATATTTCTACGTGAATTTTTTCGGTGATATTTATACGTGATTTTGTGTAGGATAACAATTCTCATAATTTGGACATAAATTTGAGAATAATCAAAATTATTTACGAAATCCAGTGAATGTCACCCATGAAATAAATTTTTATTTGTACGAAAAGTAAGGACTTACGTACATAAATTTGTCTCTAAATTAAATGGCGGCAGACGAATTATCGTTGAAATTTAAAAAGGTAAGCATAAGTATTAATGCAATATTTAAATACAACGATCAATTTTGCGTTCTTCCGTAGTTTGTTGTTACCTATCGCAAACGGAAGCAGTATGCATCGTAAGAAGAAATCTACGCCAACAGAGGACCAGATTGCGATCAAAATAACAAAAAAAAGTCCCGTGCAAATGAAAACTCATATCCAATGACAGCCAGGCGAGCTTCCAAAAAATGAGTATATGCAAAGAATTAGCCGGAGACCAAACCATGTTCCTCGCTTTTAAGCTAGTAATAGTATATTTTTCTCATATTCACTACAGCTCAGTAACCTCTTGCGTCTTAATAGCTTCATTGCCTTGCTTGGGGTGAATTGATAAACATTCCCTATCAAAAAAAATGCATGTTTATTTTTGGTGATAGGGAGTAATTATTTTGTTCTTTTGATCGCAATCTGGTTTCTCTTGATGGAAATTTCTAATGTATGGAGAATTCTAATGTGAAAAAGACCGCAGCAGAATCCCAAACTTCGTTACAAAGATTGCCTTAAAGAGTCGCTATACATGTTTAATATTGGCCTGGATAACTGGGAGACTCTAGCCGAAGATCGGGTTTCTTGCAGAGCTGGTATTGCAGACGACGTCAGGATCTTTCATGAGAAAAATATCCATCACAAAAATATACAGAACTGAAGAGAGAGGTTGAACTACCATCAGTTGCCAACCTGGCCATGTGCCCAATCCAGTCGGATATGTGTATTCAGGGTGGGTTTGTTCAGTCACCAGCCGTCACACCAACATTCTATTGTTTATGACTGTTTAGTATTGGCATGCTTTGAATGACCGACATGGTTTAGGTTGTGCAAGTCTAGGTCGGGACTGACAAGGTATATGAAAGGTCACACTGCAAGTGATGATGATCAACGTCTACTTCCACCAAACGGAGATGATATGGGATGAAATGATAAATATCCTTATTAACAAAAATAAACATATATATTTAAAGATAGATTTTATTTCCTTGTTCCGTTTGATCTTTGGGAGTAACTTGAGTCTGAATAATCATTTAAAACACTCAGGATCTTTACTGATCATGATAAACAGGAATTAATTCATGACACCATTATTTATTCTACGAAATAAGTTCCGTGGTATTTTATAAAATGATGCAAGATTTAAAATGGCCATTGATATACCTGCTATAAGATTGATGCAACTGTTTCTAGTAGCATATATCTACGGGATATGACAAGGCATATGAAAAGGCACATTAGAAGTGATGAAGACGTACGTCCCCTTTCACCACACGGAGATGATTTGATATGCCACGTACGTGATAAGAAATGCAGTTCGATGGCTGGCTTTATGAGCCGATGTCGTTCACACAACCAGAGTTATGTGGGGTGAGTGGGTTTAACTGAAAGGCTGGACATATCAGTAATTGTCTTACTCGCTTTGTGAGTCGAGAGCCAGTATTCTATATCTCCAGTATAGTAAATGACATAGTGGATAAAAGCGTTGGTTTGAGAATTTAGTGATAAAGTAGTTGCGATTTCAATCCCTGGGTCGGGCAGTGTTTACTTGCACTCAGTGAAAGCAATCGAGCTAAATACTAAGTACTAAATAAAAAAAAAAACTAGATGATATCCGTAGACGTGAGTAGTCGAACGAGAAGAGTCGACACCTGCAGATTGAATAATCGGTTCTTTCAGAATTTCCTGTAGGTTACACAGATCGATATACACCTGAGGAAGGCCGGAGGGCACATCGGCCTAACGGTTATGATAACAACAACAAAGACGAATCATAATAATCTCAATATAAATAATGTATGTAAAATTATTCACTTATCAAAATACTTTCTATTATCCATAAACTATATTGTGTCATTATAAAAATACCAATTAGATTTTGAATACAGAGAGAACTGCTGGGTGTATAATGGCCACTGATAAGGGGAAAAGTCATAATTTGAAAAGGAAACGTCTGTAAAATATTGACCCAAGATAGCCTGAGCTTCGTATCTTCTGTATTTTCCTCTCTTAATGCAATCTTCTTCCACATGAAGCAGAGCAAGAGCGATAATGGCTCTCCAAAACTTCCTTTCCCTTGTGGCCTCTAGCAATTGTCACTCTTTACTAAGGTTTTAAATAGTAGGTAGCTCGCTAACATTCGCTATCTCACTTGTCATGTGAGAGTTAAGATGAAATCCCCTCCTTCCCCATTAAATATCCAAAGAATACCATATGTTTCTTGTTGATTCTGGGTACTGTTTCCCATTTTCATTAAGACTTAATGGTGTCTTTTTGCGCCGTCTGAAGATTTCCAACGTATTTTCGCGATATATTCTCTGGAAAATTAGCTTTCTACAGTGTATAGTGTCTGCCCTGTATCATTAATAATCCTCACTTCCATTACTAAATTGTGTTAAGAAAATCAGCTCGACTTGGATAGACCAGTTGTAGAAATCGAACAAACCAGCTGATGAGGTTAGCCTCGTCTTATACGCTTTTCTATCTCACCCATTACGTCTGTATTATTAATCTTCATTCATTTTTTTCCTACGTGCTTTCTTTTTTTTACGGATAGTCATTCACTTCATTTATACACTCATCCTTCTGTTTTTCTTTCTTTCTTTCTTTCTTTTCAGTTCATTTTCTTTCTTTTCAATTCATTTTCTTTCTTTCTTTCTTTCTTTCTTTCTTTCTTACCAATTCATTTCTTTCTTGCGTACCAATTCATTTTCTTTCTTTCTTTTCAGTTCATTTTCTTTCTTTCTTTCTTTCTTTCTTTCTTTCTTTCTTTCTTTCTTTCTTTCTTTTGTTTTTGTAAATCTTTCATTCCTTAATCTTTCTTTCTTTTATTATGTCTTTTTCTTTCGTTCTTTCTTTCTTTCTTACTTTCTTACCAATTCATTTTCTTTCTTTTTATTCAATTCATTTTCTTTTTCTTTTTCTTTCTTTCTTTCTTTCTTTGTTATCAATTCATTTTCTTTCTTTCTTTTCAATTAATTTTCTTCCTTGCATACCAATTCATTTTCTTTCTTTCTTTTCAGTTCATTTTCTTTCTTTCTTTCTTTCTTTCATTCTTTGTTTGTTTGTTTCTTTCTTTCTTTCTTACCAATTCATTTCCCTCTTTTTATTCAATTCATTTTCTTTCTTTCTTTCTTTCTTTCTTTCTTTCTTTCTTTCTTTCTTACCAATTCATTTTCTTTTTTCTTTTCAATTAATTTTCTTTCTTGCGTACCGATTCATTTTCTTTCTTTCTTTTCAGTTCATTTTCTTTCTTTCTTTCTTTCATTCTTTGTTTGTTTGTTTGTTTCTTTCTTTTTTTCATTTCTCTTTTATTCAATTCATTTTCTTTCTTTCTTTCTTTCTTTCTTTTCTTCTTTTCTTTCTTTTTCAATTCATTTTTTTTTCTTTTCAATTAATTTTCTTTCTTTCGTACCGATTCATTTTGTTTGTTTTCTTTTCAGTTCATTTTCTTTTTTTTTCTTTTCTTTTCATTTATTTGTTTGTTTCTTTCTTTTTTTCTTTTCTTACCAATTCATTTTCTTTTTATTTTCATTTTCTTTTCTTTCTTTTCTTTCTCTTTCTTTTCATTTTCTTTTTTCTTTTCAATTAATTTTCTTTTTGCGTACCGATTCATTTTCTTTCTTTCTATTCAGTTCATTTTCTTTGTTTGTTTTTTTGTTTGTTTCTTTGTTTCTTTCTTTCTTCTTTCTTTCTTTCTTTTCAATTTATATTCTTTCTTTCTTAGCAATTCATTTTTCTTTCTTTTAAATTCATTTTCGTTATTTATTTTCACTGCATTTCTCCTTCTTTTCAATTCATTTTATTTTCATTTTTTTAATCCCTTTTCTTTCTCACTTTTATATTAATTTTCATTATTTTTTCCATTCATTTTTTCCTACTTTTCAATTTTATTTTATTTCTTTTCAATTCTTTTTTTCTTTCTTTCATTTCAATTCATTTTCTTTCCTTTTTTTTAATTCATTAAATTTCTCTCTTTTCAATTGATTTGATTTTCTTTCATTTCTATTTATCTTTTTTTCTTTTCAATTCCCTCTCTTACCTTTTTCAATTAATTTTCTTTCTTCTCAATTAATTGTCTTCCTTTCCTTCTTTTCAGTTCATTTTCTTTCTTTCGTTTCAATTCACCTTCTTACAGCCTTCAATTTTTTTTCTTTCTTTTCAATTCGTTTACTTTCCTTCTTTTATATTCATTTTCATTCTTTCTGATTCAAGTCATTTTATTTCTCACTTTTCAATTCCGGTTCTTTCTTTCTTTAGAAATTATTTTCTTTTCTTTTATCAATTCATGTATTTTTTTTTCAATTTATTTCTTCCATCATTTCAATTTCTTTTCTTTCTTTTTTTAATTCATGTTCTTATATTTTTTTCTTTTCATTTAATTTTCTTTCAATCTTTTCAATTCATTTGCTTTCCTTCTATTCAATTCATTTTCTTTCTATTCGATTCATTTTCTTTCTTTCTTTTCAATTCATTCTCTCTCCTTCTTTTCAGTTTTCTTCTTTATTTCTTTTCAATTCATTTTCTTTTATTCTATTCATTTCATTTTCTTTCATTTTATTCAATTCATTTTCTTTCATTCTTTTCGATTCATTTTCTTTGTTTCTTTTCAATTCATTTTCTTTTCTTCGTTTCAATTTATTTTCTTTTTTCATTTACAATAAATTTTCTTTCTGTCTTTTCAGTTCTTTTAGTTTTTTTTTTCCATTCATTTCCTTCATTTTTTCTTCGTTATCTAATCCTTAGGCTGGCTATTTTTCCCACTATAATGTTTGCTTTAGCATTTTTAGACAATGATCCAAAACATAAAATACTGTGCATTTTAAGTATCACTTAGCGTCAGAATTTGTCAAAGCAAATTGTATAGATTTACGACATTGCCTTGGCCTTAGATTCCGGTAAGTATGATTGCCTATATAGCGTCCATGAAATGAACTTCAAACAGAAAAAAATCATGCAACAGCATCGATGCACAAGAACAAGACTTACGTGATGATACCAGAATGGTCTATAATAAAATGCCCGTATATTCTGGAACTGTCTAAAGAATTCTATACATTAATAACGAAGGCAATGAACAGTTGGCAATATGACGTAAAGTCAAGATAATACCAAACATATTCTAGAATGAATAGTGAATCTTTCAAAGAGGTTCGCTATCAAAACTGGTGTACGTCACAGACATTATATCGCCGGAGTATGTTATCTTGATCTGGATGAAATTGGAATATACAATATCGTCTATGTTATATATGATATCAAATCTGTGATATCATCGAAATATATGATATCGATTGATCTCTATGATATCAGTATATATGATATATTTGGAATATCCTGGTTTCGATGGATAAATTGTCGTTTAAATTATGCCAAAATGAGAATAACACAGATATCTCATTTTTTTTATATATATATATATATATATATATATATATATATATATATATATATATATATATATCACAATTACAAAAAATATCTTGAAATTGTAAAGCGTATGTCTATTCAATAAAACCGACGTTGGCTTCAACTGTGGCCTCCAGACGACCTCGGAATCTCCTGCAACTCTTTTTGGACAGTGTCATTGGTTAATTTCGTTAATGATTGCCATCAGTTAATATTTGGTGTTATACGACGATTTTTGGTCTACTGCTCAACTGCACCCCACACAGGATAATCAAGGGGGTTGCAATCTAGGTTTTAGGTGGCCAGATGTAAGTGGGGGTTGTGGTCGCAAAAATTGTCTAAAAGCCTTGGTTCTCCTGGTTGCGTAGCATGTTGCAGAGTCCTGTAACCAGAAATAGGGTCTGCCAACAGCCAACCTCTTGACCCAGGGTAGCATGCTCTCCTCAAAGTATTTAATGTAGGCTTCTGTGTTCAGTCTGAGGCTCTCATTAAGAAATCCGGGAGTTCTTTTCATATTAGAACAATGAGAGTGAGTTTTCTGAGCTACCGTAAATTCGTAATCACCATTAGATTCATCCAACTCTTTCTGAATAGTCAGCACTGTCCTCAGATTGACACTCAAGTAAACTGAAGTCATCGTATTGGAGCTTCCAAATTTCTGTTGAAATGAATTCATTCATGGCGAGCTTTTTGTGATAGACGCTGCCCCAACTGTCTCGACTATAATGTGCAGTCGACAAAATCAAAATCAAACAATGCGCATGCGCGAAATTAAAAAAAAAAAAATAATATGGCGACAATTTATCCATCGCATTTTGTGTGTGTGTGTGTGTTTTTATTTTCTTGGTTTCCTTACTTTCTATTATCCATTCATTTCTTTTGAATCCTTCTTTCTTTCTTTCTTTCTTTCTTCTTTCTTTCTTTTTTCTTTCTTTCTTTTTTCTTTCTTTCTGTATTTCTTTCTTTCTTTCTTTACCTTTGCTTATTTACTTATTTCTTTATTTTTCCCTACTTTTATTTCCCTCTTTTTACTTATAACTTTATTCATTTCCCATCTTTCTTCACACACACACACACACACACACACACACACACACACACACACACACACACAAACGCGCGCGCGCGAACACACGCACACACACACACACACATATACATATATATATATGATTATTTATTGAAAAAATTATAACATAAATATGTTTTAAAATCACTACAAAAATAGCCATTTTGTTTCAACACATCTGTTGTCTTATCAAGTCATCACTTGATAAGACACCGGTGGTATTGTAACAAAAATGGCTATTTTTGTAGTGATTTTTGTAATATATTTATGTTATAATATTTCAATAAATAATTATATCTGCTCTAATATGTATTGAGCACTCTTCTAACATAGTAATTGTTGGTTATTGGAATTTATTCCGTATACAACTTATATCTTATATATATATATATATATATATATATATATATATATATATATATATATATAGAGAGAGAGAGAGAGAGAGAGAGAGAGAGAGAGAGAAATTGTAGGTCTGATGATTTGGATCGTGATTACGATTCCAATGTAATAAATTATAAGCATGGAATATTAGAGTTTAAGCCTTTTATATTATATTCTTTTTTTACTGCCCAGGACATTGAGTTCAGCCTGGATTCTATCCCTTATATATATATATATATATATATATATATATATATATATATATATATATGAAGAAATATAATCTTAAGGTCTGCTATATTTATGGGATAAAGTGCTCGATATCAGAGATAGAGCGTGTGTAAATATAAAAGTGAACATAGAAGTCAACATTAGAGGCGACAGTCTGTTTCATGCTATATGCAATCGTCAGGCTACGATTGCATATAGCATGAAACAGACTGTCGGCTCTCTCTCTCTCTCTCTCTCTCTCTATATATATATATATATATATATATATATATATATATATATATATATATATATATATATATATATGGAGAGGTATTTAAGCTGGAGATAACTGATAACTGACATCCATTAGACATGGCACGTGGAACTAGAACAGTCTACCCCAGTGAGCGAAATAAACGGTTCTGATCGACATTCCAACAACCTGAAAAAAACCGGAGCGTACAAAGGCCGAAATGTTGTAATAATTATGGCGACCAAGATGAGGATATTAGTCCCAATAATGTAAATAATGTATATAATACCTCATCTCTGAAATATAGACTGATCCAAAAAATAAATAGGTAGATAAATCAATAAATGAAATTGGAAGAAAAGAAACAAAGAATAAAAAAGGACGATGTCCGAAACAATGAAAAGTTACAGATCTGAAAGATGGAAATCAAGATGGAAATCAAGAGAGGAAAGAAAGAATGAATAAATAAATAGGGAAAGATAAAAAGAAACGGAGAACTAAAACATAAAAGAAGGAAAGAACGAAGAAAGATAAAAAAACATTAACAATATAGCTAGCGAGCTAGCTAGCTAGATATATCGAGAGATAGATAAAGAAAGAAAGAAAGAACGAAAGAAAGAAAGAAAGAAAGAAAGAAAGAAAGAAAGAAAGAAAGATAAAGGTTAACAAAAAGAAAATGATGTATGTATAAATAAATGAATGACTGTCGGGAACAAAAGAAAAAACGTAAAAAAATTTCAAGAAGACTAAAAATTAAAGAAATAATGGATCAGATCAAAAAAGAAATGAAGAAAGACATGTTCTAAATTTAGCTCAAAAGAAAGAAAGAAAAAAAGAAAGAAAGAAAGAAATATTTAAGGGAGAAGAAGAAAGAAATTACGTAACAAAGAAAGACAGAATATACAAAGAATATTTAAGGGAGAAGAACAAGAAAGAAAGAAAGAAAGAAAGAAAGAAAGAAAGAAAGAAAAAAGAAAGAATGAAAATATATTTTTGAGGCTGATTGTACATAAAAGTGAAATGACCGAGGCTAAAAAAATGACTTACTGGTCGAGGAATGACGTCTGACTTTCCTGAACCAAGATTTACGATTTTTTTTCATGACTTGCAATTTCGCGTGACATATGAGAATTGTCCTCTGACCTGTAATCCTGAACTTAAAAGCAATTTTGTAGTGCAGAATGCTTACTACCGAGCACACCCTATACTGCCTATCTGCCTATACATACATACATATATATATATATATATATATATATATATATAACTGATGGAATGAGAACGAAAATAATATATAAATTCTAACGTTCACAGCATTAATTCAAAAGAGGGCTGCATACCGATAGTAGAGCGATAATTATTTATTATAATTGTTTCTCATAGTCAAAAACAGATTACTCACTGCAAAGAAGCGAAACATTTTGGCTCTCATCAGTCGAGGTGTAACTGAAATGCACTGAAACGAAGTTGCATCTGTGTAGTGAGTAAACTGTTTTTGTCTATATGAAAAATTATAATAAATATATACACTGCGTGCCAATGTAAACAAACTGGCGCCATATTTGTTATTAGCACGGTGATTTGAGCGTGCCAAATTATTATAAAGGTTTAGTAAAATTCCCAGAATTGAGCAAACAAAAGGTTTATTAATGTTGCACGTGAATGTTTATGATCAAAAGAAGCTAATAAATAAGATAATCAAACAAATAATAACAGATACACACAAAGGCACAGTTTTAAACAAATTAATAGGGAATGTGCTTTCCCTGTTTTGAAATTACTTGAAGAAGTCGACGATCCATAGAAATTGTTAATTGTATGATGTCATCTGCTGTAATGCCGCGAGATATGTCAAGAATTGCTTCCCACAACTCAGCGTTGCTCCTGAATTGTCATCCGTTGGGGCGTACAGTCTTCGCTTCATGATGCTCCAAAGGATTTCACTTGGGTTCGAATCCGGAGAATTTGCTGGCCACTTCATTTTTCGAGGTCCATCGAAGCCTAACTGTTTCAAATATTCAGTAGTCTTGTGAGCAGCATGTGAGGGAGCATTTTCTTGCATAAAAACAATGGCCCTTTTGAACGCAATTCTTTGCCTTTTCATCCAAGGTCCAAGATGCTCCTTCATAAACGCTATATATGCATCAGCAGTCATTTTGACGCCATCTGGTACTCTCCATGGGCCCACTAATGTTCTTCCAATAGTAACACCCCAAATCATTATGCCCCCACCGCCTTGTTGGTGTCTTAAATGCTGATGGCGATTCTGTCCGTTCATTACCCAGCATTTGCACCATTTATCTGGCCCATCATGTGTTGCTCGAGTTTCGTCTGTGAACAAAACTTTAATGAAGTCAATCATCATATTGTCCTCGGCCCATTTCAATGGATTTTGAATGTGATTTCTCGTCAACGTAG